TATATAATATATACTATTATATTATATACTATTATATACTATTATATACTATTATTATATACTATATTATACTATATTATATACTATATATTATAGAATACTATTATTTTTAGTATTTTTACTATTATTTTACTATTATTTTTATTTGCTAAGAATATTAATTTATAAAAAATTCTTTATTTCATAGATTTATAGATTTTTCATAACAGAAACAACAAACTTGATTTATTAATATTCTTATAGTTATTATTATTAATCTGTAATATGAAAACTATTATTTTTTATTATCTTATAAAAATAAAAAGATAGTATTTTAAAAAAAAATTAGTAAATAATATAAATTATAATATTTCATAAAAGTTACAGAAACAAATACTATAATTTTTGAATTCAAAAAGCTTAATAAAAAATAAAGAAATTAAATGACAAGTATATTTATGTCCGTTTGATATTTTATGTTATGAATATAAATATTAGATGATTATCACATTTATTATTACATGAGCTGTGTCAATATTAAACTTTGTTATCATTAGTTATTAATAGTTATCATTATTAAATCTGAGATTTTTATTTCAGATTTAGAATAGTTAGAATATAATTTATCTTATATTAAAATTTAGAATTTTTTTTATTTGTTATATTAATAATAAATTTTGCAGTTTTATATGTATAATATAAAAACTAATGTCAAATTATCATTTTTTATCACATTAAATACCGCTATGTTCAAAGTTTTCTTATATTATTTATAAAATTTTGTTCGGATAATCGTAATTGATTTCATGTAATAATACAACGTTATTAATTTTATACTTATATATTCTCATTTTATTTTTTAAATGAAATATATAATACAGCAGAATATTTCAATATTTGATTTCTGGAATATCTTTTTTCATAAAAATAATATTTTTTATTAAAAAAAAAAAAATTACCAAAAAAGAGATAATATATATAGTATAACTCACCTCTCGTGCTAAACCTTGAGCAATTTGATTATGTTTATCCCTCTCCTTCTCCACTACAGCCAAATGTAACTGAACATCCTGAATATCTCTTATTGAAGTATCGAGTTCATGTTCGATTTTTCTCCTACTGTATTCGCATACTAGCATTTCATGATTGAGTCTCTTAATTTGATCACCTAAGTTCTCTTTAGTTCGCGCTAAAATATTCCTCTCTCGTAGAAGAATCTCCATCTCTTGTTGCTTAACAGCGATTTGTTTTTGTAATGATATCTTTTGATGCGCCAAATTCTTTGATTTTGATGATAATTGTTTTACTTCTTCTTCTAGAGCAGATTTATCGGTTTCATATTTTTGAATTCGCTTCGCCATTGTATCTCTCTCCGTTCTAAGCTTTAAAATATCTTCTTTTAACCTATAATCATAGTGAAGTTGAAAAGTTAAAATTTGAAAAAACAAAATATTTTATTTAGATTTATCAAAAGATAAACAAAGTTTAAAGATTAGATATAAACAATGTAAGAATATTCGTTCATCTTTTTGGAAATTTTCAATCTCTTTATCATTTGTATTATTTTTATTTCTTTTCTTGAATCCTTGTTCCAATAATAAACCGAAATATTCTTGTTTTTCAATACCCAGTCACCCATATTTTTTTAAACTTTTTTCTCATGAAAATTAGGCAATTTAATTTCCATGACTATCAAACAATGTTCTTCGAGATCCGAGTATCGATCTCTTAGTTAATAATTTAGAATTGCTCCAAGAAAAATTATTATTTATTACAAACTGAGTTTGAGAAGTCTTCATTTAAAATTCTATTTTAAACTTTATTTTACAAATTAATATTCCAAAGATCTTATAAATATATTATATATCTTATAGACCTCATAAATTATCCAATATTTCTACTAATCATAAGTATATATAAAACGATATAACATGAACAAAATAAAAAATTTTTCAAGAATGAAATATAATTCAATATATTTTCGTCCAATAAATATTTAATATATTTGCTTCGACACATATTTGGATTTATTTATTTGAAATGGTAAGTCTCACATATCCTGTCGCAATTTAATAAGTCGACATGATTGCTCAGTTTTTGCTTAATAGTTAACAAAATCGAAACGAAAGTTTTTGTAAAGAAAAATATTATATGAAATTATTTATAATATTTTATATGAATACTTATATATTTTATATATATATTATTTTATATAAATACGGATACTTCATCAATGATTTGATCTTGATCTTAATATATGTTATCAAGAATGTCTATTTATCCTTATAACTTAATGTCGATGATTTTTTATAATTTTCGAAATATTTAGAAAAAAAAATTTAATTTGAAATTAAAAAATTACATAAATTTTTAACAATTTGCATTTAATAGATAAAGATAGAATTTAATAGTTAAAAAGACATTCAATTTTTTTGATTGAATGCTTTTTTCGAGATAAAATAATAATAATAAACAATAAGTTATGTCCTATAAATAAATATAGCAAATAAATTGAATATATTTTGAATATGTAATGATATAAAAATGATATAAAATGAAATGGAATCTCTTTTTATTCTTTAAAAAATCTGATCCAATGCAAGCTCTATTCTAATTTATCAAAAAATGATTTTAAGTTAAGTTAGATTGTTTTATAAGATAAAAATACAGGAAGTTCATATTTTTTTAATAATATATTTATAATAAAATTATATAATATAATAATTATATTTATAATAAATAAATATCAATTAAAAAGAGATATATATACATGTATAAGAAGATTTTTAAAGGAAATCTTAAAAAATATTTAGCATTAAAATATATATATACAAATATATATATATAATAAAAATATTCTTTTATGAATATCTTGAAATCTAAAAGAATTCGTTACATATATAGAAAAAAATTATTCAGAATGATGATCTTAATATATTTGAAAGTCAAAATCACTATAATGCCTAAAGAAAATAATTACTTTCATGAAACATATCATCAATAATTCTTGTATTATTTAGAATAATAATTTAAATAAAATAAATTACAATTTAGTAGACTAATTATTCTGGGTTACCTGCGAATTAAAGATAACGATTGAAGTAACTATGGGATTAGAAGCAGTATTAAATAACAGCGGATGTTGCATTACAGATTGATGCTACTAAAAGCTGACAATTTCTAGACAGAATAATTCAAATGTAGTATTATACGATTGAATGATTATAAATTTCAAATAAGGTCTATACTATTTTTATACATAAATATATATGATGAAATATATATATATAATAAATATGTATATTTGTTTATGAATCGATGCTAGAGAAATTACTCAACATTAATGTCTTTCTCTTTTTCTATTCAATTCAATTTTAACAAATTTTAAAATGATAGCAATATATAGTGATTTTAGTAAAATTGTATGATATTAAATAACTATCTATTAATCATTCTAGGACAATTAAAAAAAATCTTTTTTTCATTTTTTTATTTATTTCCTCATTCATATTTTTTAGATATATAATATATCTAAAAAAAATATCTAAAAAATAATATCTAAAAAAAAT